CTCTCTCTCTCTCTCTGTGAGTCCGGTACTAACCTGTGAAGTTGGCTCCTTGATGCAGGTACCTCGAAGATGGAGCTGGAGCTATGGCGCCACGGGTAAGTCTCACTGGCCTCCGCCAGCCATCTCTCCCCAATACTACTACTGCCACCTACTAGCGCCCAGCGCCGAAGACTACTGCTATGGCTACTAGCGCCCAGCGCTGAAGACTACTGCTAGCGCTAAGTACGCCTGCAGCGCTCCTCCTGAGTGCTGCGGCCGAATCCTGAAGACTAATCCTGCCTTCTGTCCAACTACCTACCCGTGAAGTGCATGGGAACTCCCTATGTACTACTCGGCCTGCCTCCTGACTGCAGGGCGAGGCAGTCCAGGAGGCTGCTCTTGGCAATGCCGAAGGGAGTCAGGGGCGCCGCTGCAGCTCCTGCTGAGGCTGTCGTGGGAACAGGCCAAAAATAGCCTGTTCCTGAACCCCTGGTTTTGTGCCTGAGTGTTAGGGCAGGTCGATCTTATGAGGGCCCGAAAGTGGCCCTCCATTTCAGGCTGAGAAGCCTCAGGGCTGAAAAGCCCTGTTTTAGGCTGAAAACGAAATAGGGCCTGCAGGCCCTCGTTTTCAGTTTTCAGGCTGAAACGACATGGGGCCTGCAAGCCCTTATTTCTAGGCTTTTAGGCTGAGAATGCGGGACGGGCCCTGCAGGCCCGTGTGGCTACGCAGTATGCCACAGCTATCTTCTTCACAGCCCACTTCTTCTCCGGCCACCTGCAGTCCTCCACGCACAAGATACCAAGGCAGCTCTTCCTCATGGCACACAGGCGAATGAATGAATGGCTGGACGCTGCCTCTTTCGGAGGTACCCGGGCCTGCCTCAAAACGTGTGGGCCTGGGCCAAAACGTGTGGCCCAGGGAAGCTTCCAGACGTTTGGCCCTCTGAGCCAAAACGTGTGGAACCCACAGCGTGGTCCAGAACCTTCCCCGCCTGCAGCCCCTACCCCTGGTACTTGCTGACTGGACTGGCCTACAGGGACCTACGACCTTCTAGAGCCTACAGACTTACAGACAGACTCTACACTCAGTAGACTCAGATAGAGACTTCTTGAACAGACCTTCCTATCCGTAATGGTAACGGACCTAACTCCTAATCTACAGACCTGGGGATCGAGTCTCACACAGATCACTGGGCGTATGTACAGGGTACAGGGTAGGTCTAGGGATCGAATCTCACTCAGGACACAGGGTCAATGTACAGGGTTTGGGCACAGGTCTAGGGATCGAAACTCTGTGTCTGCAAATGTCGGGTTAACTAGGTGAAACTGTTTCACTAGTGCGTGTGTACGTGTGTGTGAGTGAGTGTGACTGTCTCTGATGGTGGATACAGAGTTCGGGTGGGAATTGCAGACTGGCGCGCAGATGCTATAACCGCAAAATGTGACAAGTTGACTTGAGCTTAGTTCCTGGCCGAAGGCCATATCTCTGAGTTTTCTGTGTGGGCGCACTGCGCCATCTCACGCTTGTTGCTGATTCTACCTTGAGGAAGTTGTTTTGCCACCGGCACCTGCATGTATGCATGCTGGAAGTGAAATTGAGACAAGTGTGATTGCAGACCCATGTGGCACATCCACACCTCTGATGTGAGGTCTCTCCTTGGGATGGTATAGGCATATTTCATCGTCTTAGTTTCATCTATATTTTTTCATGTAAGGTGCAATCAGAACTTGGCATACAATGATTATGAATGCTTGTATTGTTGATAAAAGAGTGGAGGGTATGAACACTGTTGAGCGAGGCAATGTCAAACCATTCAAAGCCACGGATGAATTGCATCCTCACAGGGTTCCATTTCTGTCGATATCCTTAATGTTGTTTGCATTATGCTTCGGATAATTGTTCGCTGCAGCAAGAAACGGCGCAAGGCAAAGATGCCGGAGCAGCTGCCAGCACTGCCTGGACCCCCTCAAAGGAAACTGCCAGGGCCACGCAAGGGTGGTTCTAAAGAAGTACCAAAGACTGGTTCTAAGGACGTGACAAAGGCTGGTTCCAAAGAAGCTGTACGGACTGTTTGCCTGAAGAGATCCTTGAGTGCTTCTGTGAATGATGCCAAAGGAAAAGCAAAGAATTTGGCCTCTGGAACATCGACTAAAGTTTGCGGCGGATTTTTGAAGACGTTGGAATCATCTTATGTATCTACAGGCAAAGAAGGGTTATCGACTCACGGTCTCGAAGATCGTGGGGCCTTTTGTTCACAGAGGTTTGATTATAATTCGGCTCACAGAGATAATTCAGAGACGGCAGTGGAACCGCATGGATACCTGCAGCCTGGTAAAGTGGGGGATGATTTGGTCAGTAGAGACAGTGGTACTCAATCTGACAGTTCCTCTGATGAAGTGGATTACCTGACTCGTGCTCCTCTTGGGATATCCTTAGCAGATTTTGGGGTGAAGGTTGTTGGACGCCGAACGTTTCAGTTACCCACAGGGAGCACATCGAGCAATGCGCTTCGGACTAAACAATATGAGGGTAATGACAGCAATGTGAGTTCTATTCCACAACCACCCTGGTCTTCCTTGCTTTTTGTTGTGAAGAACATTGTCCTCACGGCCCGCGATGGTTGCTTTGTGTCCACCCTTCACTGTCTAATCCAGACTCAGCGGTTCGCATGTATGCCAAACGTTTGCCTCACTGCTCTCGTTGGTTGCTTTATGTCAAGCGTTCACTGTCCAATCCGCCGTCGGTGGCTCCATGTATGCCAAGCCTGTGCCGTCCTCGTAACTCGCCTTGGTTGCCTTTCTGCACTTGCACCGCACGCGATGTAACAACCATTACTAATGGATGTATTTTCAATCAGTGCTATAGCTCATTCTACTCCCTGTGCAATCAGACTCGTTCTCATTCACACTTTACATGCATGCGAACAGTAGCACAGTAAACTGGCGACATGCACCCACACAGTACTCAGAGATATGGCAACCCAGTTAAGAGTTCACTTCCACTGGCTATGGCGACGTAGCGCCCAAACAACTCTCTGTTCGCATACACCGGATCACCCTGGATATTCCCCACGCGACGCTGAACACTCGCACACATACACTAAACCTCAACTACAGCTATGGCGGCAGTGGCCGCATCTTCCCTATCGCTATGCTACGCTCATTCTCTCTTGCCCACTTCAGCTCCGGGCTCACTGCAGACCTCCTTGCACAAGTCGCTGTGGCAGCGCTTCCGCATGGCTCACGCAGGAATGAATAAATGGCTGGGCGCTGCCTCTTGATTTATACTTCTGAAACTCGTTGGTCTGCCCTTTCCCATCGGCCATGGTGCTCACAGTCCCTCGTGGTACTTGCTGGACCGAACTGGGACTGACTGGACCTTACCGCCGACTGAGTGGAGACTCACTGCTAACCTACCGAGGTCGTACTGCAATTGCACTGCAGTTTAGTCCACCACTTGACTCACCACTTGCCCACTTGCCCACTTGCTGACCTTCTAGAAGGGCGACAACTAAGAGTTCTGGAACTCGCTAAGACTTCTATTCTACAGATCTAGAGATCAAACCCCTGCTACCTACGGACCTATGACAGCCTACCAACTATTTACGAATACACAGGTCACAGGTTCAACTCTCGGGGTCTACACAGGTACTGTACACAGGTAGGGCAAGGTCTAGGGATCGAGCCCTGGGATCTGCATCTGCTACTGCAAAGAGGTGAAAACCGTTTCACTCCCGCCGTCCTAAATTCGAGGTCCTCCGAGAATATTTCAGTCCAAGGCAGGACCTCTACCCTTCTTGTCACGCTCACAGGCTCTGACTATGTCGGGAGCTGTTTCTAGAAGTTCTGTCCTAGTAAACCAGCGGTCATCTTCCGGTTCCTGATAAGCAAATCGGACCTTATACTGTTTTTGTGGACGACCTCTACCTCCTGTCCTGAACACATTTTCATCTACAATCCTGTCAATGTCATATCTTCCATCCATATCCGGCGGGATCATGGATCTTCTTGAGGCATGGAATACAGGGTAAGTGTGGAGGTGTGCTGGAATCTCTATTGTGTAGGAATACCCATCCTCTCCGCCGTTGACTTCTAGAACCGGCCACGGTCCTCCATATGCAGGTAGTAACTTCTGCGAGATGTGCTCCTCAGGTGCAAACTCTTTAGACTTGACCCAGACTAGGTTGCCTACCTGAAACTGCGATGGGCGACGGTGCTTATTAGCCTGTTCTATCATTCTGTGCTGGGCCTTCCTGAGGTTTTCAAGAACGGTAGCTAATTCTTTCTCGAGCTGTATCGCAAACTCCCTGGTACCAGGCGGTAGCCTGTGAACCTGATCCCGGTTCAGTCCTTCAAATGGTCTGCGCGGTCTAAAGGACTTGGGCAACTCATTGGGAGTGTGACAGGTAGACAGATGCACGCTGTTGTTATAGGCACTAGCTACCTTGGGTAACATCTCGTCCCAGTTGATCTGATCCGGTGTAATGTACATGCGCAGAACTTGCTGCAGGATCTTGTTCATCTGCTTAGTCTGACCGTTAGTTTCTGGATGGCGGCCAGACGACATCAGCAACTTTGAGCCATAGACTCTCATGAGTTTCTGCCAGTTCTGGCTAGTGAAGCGACTATCTCTATCGCTAACTATAGACAACGGGACTCCATTCTCACTAACCCAAAAATCGAAGAACTTCCGTATAACTAAATCATGTATGTGCCTCTGCAGGCAAGGTAACAAAAACAGCATACTTGCTAAATCGGTCAACTATGACCATGACTTGGCTCTGACCGTGTTTACTCTTGACACCGCCATCCATAAAATCAATGGAGACCGAGTCCCCCGACTGGTCTGGAATAGGCAAGGGTCTGAGAAGACCTAGAGGGGCGCCCGTAGTGGTCTTGATTCTCTGGCAAACTTTGCAACTGCGAACATACTCTATACAGTCAGCTTTCATCCCTGACCAGGTGTACGCACGCATGAGATTGGCTAAAGCCTTTTGCCAACCGAAGTGTCCCTCTGTATCATGGCACTTCCCTAGGATCAAACTACGAATCTCCTCACTGTTGGGGATGCACAGGCGGTCTACCACATTAGTCTTCTCAAACAATAGTCCCTCAGTAGTGCGGTAGTCTGGTTCGGTCTCTGGGGCCTCCTTAACTCTCTTGAGGAGGTCACTATAGATAGGGTCATGCGCATACGCCTGTCTGACTTTCTCTTGCAGGTCCTTCCCTATATCCAGATAGTGTAATATAGCTCCAAAGTAGTCTGATCTCCTACTTAGAGCATCCGCAACTACATTGTACTTGCCTTTGACCGGTTTGAGCTCAAAGTCATACTGGTCTATCTCAGCGGCCCACCTAGTCAACTTAGGTGTCATCTTGGCCTGGGTCTTTAACCATCTAAGAGTTTCGTGGTCTGAGTATACTTTGAAGTGCCTCCCAAGCAGATAATGCTTCCAGTGTTCTAAGGCTTGCCTGAGAGCGTAGAGTTCCCTCTCGTATGTCGAGGTGGCCACCTTCTCTGAGGGCATCCTCGCTGACATGAACTCTACGGGTCGGTAGCCATTGTCGTCATCCTGCTGTAACACGACGCGTATACCATACTGACTTGCATCCGTGGTGCCGACAAATGGCAAAGACGGATCGGCTACTTTGAGGACAGGGTACTCTATCAATGCGCACTTTAACTTCTTTAGCGCGGACGTACAGTATTTGTCCCATTGCCAGATTGCCTCTTTCTTTAGCAACCTGCGCAAGGGAGTGGCGATAGTGGAGAAGTTCCTCACGAACTTCCTATAGTAGTTAGCTAGGCCTAGGAACGACCGCAATTCAGTCAACGTGCGAGGCGTCGGCCAGTCTCTAATTGCCGCTATCTTGGTGTCCTTTGGCTGAATGCCATCTCCGTCTAACACGTGGCCCAAGTATAGGACTTGTGTCTTGGCCCACTTGCACTTCTTCGCGTTGATCTTGAAGTTTGACTCTCTCAACTTCTCCAAGACCTACCTCAGATGACCCTGATGCTCCTGGAGGGTCTTGCTAAAAACTAAGATGTCATCTAAATAAACTACTACAAACTTGTCTAACCACGGCCTAAACAGATCGTTCATACATCGCTGAAACGTCTCTGGCGCGTTAGTCAGTCCAAAGGGCATCACTATAAACTCATAGTGCCCATATCTAGTTCGGAACGCAGTCTTGTACTGGTGATCAGGATGGACTTCTATCTGATGATAACCACACTTTAGATCTATCTTAGAAAAATATTTACAACCCTGCACCCGATCTAGAAGATCGTTTATCATGGGCAGTGGTTCAACATTCTTCACAGTAATCGCATTCAAACCCCTATAGTCTATACACATACGAAGTTCTCCTTCCTTCTTGGGGACAAACGGGACTGGTGCTCCAAAAGGAGACGAACTGGGCCTGATCCAACCTTTCTCGAGGAGCTCGTCTAACTGCTTGCGTAGCTCCTCTAACTCTCTAGGGGACATCCTGTAGACTACTCCCTTAGGAGTCCTACTGCCAGGCTCTATCTCTATCCTGTGCTGGATGGGTCGCGGCACTACTCCTGTCGGCGACTCAGTCAAATCTTTGAATTCCTCCAGCAACTTGGCAATGGTTGGGTCTGTGGAACTATCTCCTTCCTTAGCCTCAATGACAGGCCTCACATACACTACGAAGACCTGATCCTCTAATTGCTCCTTTTTCACTAGTCGCGCGAACGCGGGAGCACTGAGACAGCAATGTGCCAAGGTGTTATCTACACCTGACACATGAAACATGCGAGCAGTCTTAACCTCGAATGACGGACTAGGGAGCCTACACTCATGCTCTCTTAAGTGGAGTGTGGCCCCTGCTGCCTCTCCCCAATCCATTCCTAGCACTATGTCGAAAGGAAGGTCATCCTGAACGAGAGTCAGGGAATGGAGAACTTTCTCCACCTTCCCATCTTTCTCTAGGCGAAAGTACGCCTGGACTCCCTCTACGTAGTCCTCAAATCGCATCGTGCGGTTGTCCGCGAGGACACTGACTATGGGGTCTGCTAACTTTTGGACTTTTAATCCTAACTTCAACTTCTTCAGCGCCCTACAGCTAATATAACTGTGGGTGGCCCCTCAGTCTATAAGGGCCCCTACTCTGCTTCTAAACACTTCTACATCTACCAAGATCAGTTGTCCCTTACTCTCCTTCTTCATTTTGGCCCAGGCTGGCGTCCTCTCCTTCAGCTCTTTTGCCACACCTGTGAGGGACGTGCCTAGAGGGACGCTAACACAAGCAGTCTCTGGACAACTAGCTAGGCACGGGCCTGCAACCTCTGCCATAGGCTCATGTGGTTTCGGAGTTCTCTGTTCGCGCGCGCTCGCTTCCCCACATGGCCTTGAAGTAGGGGCAGTTGCGACCCCTACTGGCGGCTGCCTTTTGACTGCTGAGCAACCCATCGGGCATGTCTGTACTGCGGACAAAATTTAATTACGTGGGCCGGGTCACCACAAAACACGCACTGACCCAAGTTCACGCGTTCCTGCCATACGCGTTGGTCCAAG